AGATAGATAGGCGAAATCTACTAAAACAGACAGGCCAAGTTTGGAGAATTAAAAATATTGGCACAGTTGCCATAGAAATTTCTATGGGCATGAACAAAAGATGAGTAAAAAGCTCTCAGAACAGCATGACTCAGGTAGATGTGCAGCACCTTATCCAGGGGGTTGACAGCTGAGAGGGGCTGTGGGGGAAAGTTTGGGATGGTCCCAGGGTACACGGAGGAGGGGCGGGGGCGGAACAGTCCATCTGAACCTCACTTTGCCAAGTCCCTCATCACTAATACCAGCTCGCGAATTGAAGTCCTCCTTTCAGGGAAGCAGAACTGCTGGTACTAAAGGTTCTCATTCAGTCCAGTCCTGCAGGTAGAGACTCACCCCATTTGGCAGGTGCAGGAACTGGGCTGGCAGTGGGGAATGAGCATGTTGCATTTGGTGTTTCCAGGTGGTGTGTGGGTTTGGAGCCCGTGAGGTGGGCATCTGGCTGTGGCCAGAGAAGGACGGACCCCTCTGATAGTTAGTGGCAAGGCCAGAATTCAAACCAGTGAGACCTGCCCCTGCCTGTGTGCCCACCACTGACAAGGTGGCACTAATGGAGAGTACTGAGCAGGAGCAGAGCGACGGGAAGGCGAGTCCTCATTGCATGAAGGGTCAAGAGTGTGAGCTCTGTGATTCGTTGTTTGTGAGTGAATGCATAAACTGTGGGCTCCGGCTCACATGAGCTTGGATGGGTCTGCCTTCTTAGGCATAGCTGGCTTTCCTGGCCCCTGAGTACTAACTACCCTGCCTCAAGTCACCATTCTACCCCACTGCTAGTGGGACACCAGCCTCCCCTCAGAGTCCTGGGTCACGGAAGTGCTTGGTTATCTTAACGTGGTGGGCCGCATGGAGCAGGCACACACCTCATTCCACCCACTGGAATCTTTGGCTAGAGGAGACCAAGCAAGCTTTCTTCTACTGAATAAGAAAGCATCTTGGAGTAACAGGTTGAAAAAGACATTACAATTCAATTAAAATCTTACTCCTTTGAACACTCCCAGAGGGGGGAAGCCACTCTGAATTTGTGCGAAATCTAATTTACAGACTCAGTGTCAGGAAATGGAATTGTTCACAATTAACGAACTTGTATTACAGGGACCAAGCAAGGAGTGTAGAGCCAGGATGATCTGGGCTCCCACCTTGTCAGCAAACCTTCTAACCTCTCCGAGCCTCAGTTTCCTCATCTGTATAGTGGACATCATAGCCATCTGTCGGTGTTGTGAGGATAGGTCACGCACATAAATGGCCTCTTGTTACTACATTATCCTCCCTATGCTCAACTAGCTTAGCAAACACATTCTTTTCTTTAAAAACAAAATTGTCTGAGCACCTAAGCCATAAAAGTTAAGACAAACAAAGGTACCAGGAAATAGTTTCTTAAAGCTCACTTCCCCCACCCACCAACTCCCCTGCAGTAGGTCCTGCTGTTTGTAAAAATATCTTACCTGTGTTACCCAGCACCCAGCATTCTGTGTTCTGTTCTCCTCCGGCATCATCATTTCATGTAGTTCTTCCTTCGTTTCTTCTCCATCCTCCGAAGGGCCATTCCCCTGGGAGCATGCTATTCCCCTCCAGCCCAGCACAGAATGCAGGGAGGGACATCCCCCATCTGCATGGCAGGGTTGGCTGCGGCAGCCACTTCTGAATTAGGACGGGCCAAGCCATGTCTTCTTACCGAGGCCACCAAACCTGGCCGCACAGCAGGAATAGATTCCTGGGCCTACACCTGGGTGCTAGGGTTTAAAAAGTCTTCCCCTGCTTAGGAATGGGTATTTCTACAAAGCACCCCGACTGACACCTGATGGTTTAGAGGCATGTAGGCCCACCCCCAACATTCAAATTTAGATTTAAAGTAGGCTGGGGAGAAAGCAGTAAAACTCAGGAATTAATTCAGGGCCACCAGGGACTTTTCTAAAGCACTTCCCATTTAACAGATGAGGAAATGGGAGGCAAGGACGGAGTCGGTGAGGAGGGATCTGAGTAGCCGGGAGCTTAGAGCAAAGCCCAGGACCCCCGCAGTTAGTCCTTTCTCCACGCCACCCCCACCAGCCAGAGTGCCTTCTTCTGGGGCCAGGAGCAGCGGGAAGGGTTGTGGGGGGAGTTGTGACCTTAAAACAGGAACAATCTCTCTCGCTCTCTAGCTCTCTCGCTCTCTCTCTCTCTTACACACACACACACACACACATATGATCTACCTTTAATACACACACACACGATCTACCTTTAATGAACTGAAGCAAAAATCTGTTAGCAGTTTCATCAGAAGCCCCAGCAAAGCTGAAAGCATCCTTTTCAGCTTTGATGTCTGGACGACACGTTTCCTTTGAAAGCTCAGAGGCAGCCCTGTTGTTCCCTCTGACGGCCCCAGGGAAGAGCTCTGAAAGGAGAAGCTCCCGCCGAAGGGGCTATTCCTTGAGAGCAGCCCCTCCTTCCCCGGGGCGGCCTGACACCCAGCCTGGAGCTCCAGAGGCCCATGCTCCTCAATTTGCTTGCAACTCTGATGCCCTCAGGCTGGAGGCCACCGGGCACAAGGTGCCTCTGCAGTCTGCCTCCTCACCTCCCCCAGATGCCTCCCTAGGGAGGTCAAGAGCCCCCTCATCTGTCTGCAAGGCTCCATGTCAGCCACCTTGAGAAGTTTACAGGGCTGGTCTGACTGACTGCTTTTTCCTTCCCTCGAGGGTCACGGGCCACTTGTAGGGAAAGTTCAGGATGCTCCCACCCTGTTAGAAACTAAGAGAGAAGGGAGACCAAGGGGATGGCGGTGGGAAAGTGCTTACCCGGGAGGCTCACAGGGCCTCGCTGCTCCATGTGTGGTCCACCTTTGCAGCATCGTCCTCACCTGGGAGCTTGTTAGAAATGCAGAATCTGGGGCCCACCCTGGACTGACAGAGTCAAAATCTGTATTTTAACAAGATCCTCAGGCTTATTTGTCTCTCCATAAAACTTGTATCCCAGCTGTCCTGCTCCAGGCTGTGTGACCTTGGCCAACCAACCTCCTTAACCTCTCTGAGTTTTAGTGCCTACATAGGGATTTTGAGAAGTGAAACATTTAGCACTTACCATATACTAAGCCTTCAGTGAACGTAAGCTGTCATTTTTCCTGGGGAAATGAGGAAGGGAGAATGGGTTTTGCCACATTTAAACCTGAATCATCCAGCCATTCCTTGGTAGGAAGTCCAAGCTGAATGGGAGAAAGTTCCAGTAGAAAAGTGAAGAGCCCTCAACATCTGCTCAAAGAACAAACTTAAGAAAAGGTCGTTTCTAGCAACCCGTTTAATTGGGGGCTAGTTTAGATCATTGCCCATGCTCTTGGTTTGGGAGTTCTTACCTTCATTGATGTGCCTTTTTTTCCTGCCACCTTATCCGCCAGACCCAGCTGTGAGCTCCTCCTGCTTCCCTGACCCTGAATAAAGGGCTCTGACACTGCTGCCAGCAGAATGAACTTGGCTGCACAGTTTAACCCCAGCCTGGCATGTCTGCCCCCCTACCCTGCCCCATAACCGCAGTCCCTGTCCTTGCTCTCTACCTGGCAGGATCTTTACTCCACCTTTGGAGTCCTGTTTAACTGGCAGAGGCTGTGGGGTGTCCCAAGAACGTGAGTCCATCTTGGAGGAACTTTGTTCAAATCCCAGCTCTGCCATGAACCGGCCGTGTGACAAGGGGCAAGGCCGCCTTGCTCAGCCTCCCTGGCCTGCGTTCTGTCTATAAACGGAGGCTAACAGCCGCTCTGCAGAGCTGCTGTGAGGATTCATCAACAAAGTAAAGAGAATTTCCATTAACCACAGTCATTTTCCTTCTAAGCCACCTCCCCTGAGAAGCCGTTAGCCATCCCTCTCACACCCTGTCCTACAAAATGAAGTACAGCCTCCTCTGTGTTACATAAATTCTTTCTCTTCCTTGTCTATGTCATGTCCAAACGCTCCTCTGACACTCTCATGGAGGGAGCCCTGACCCCCCTGCTTGAAGTCACAGGCCTCCCTACGCTGCACCCCATCCTCTTCTCTGCCTGACTTTTCCCCTGGTGGTCATCGACCGACCATCGTGCTTGTGCTTGTTTGTTCTCATGAGTGTGAGCTCTGCAAGAGCAGCAATTCCTGTCTGTTCCCTCCTGTATCCCTGGCATGTAGGACTGTGTCAGGCACTCACAGGCACTTGGTCAGTATTTGTTGACTGTCTGAATAAACCATTTTTGTGCCAAATAAATAATTTCGTGTGTTCAGATGGCACGTCCTGCCTGGCTGGTATGGGCTGACTTGTGCCTCCCCCAGATTCATCTGTTGAAGTCCTAATCCTCAGAATGAGAGTGTATTTGGAGATTGGAGTTTTAAAGAGGCTTTGGAAGAAATCAACTCAGAGATGCCTGTGGTCTCAGACCTCTAGCCTCCAGGACTGTGAGAAATCAGTTTCTGTGGTTTAGGCCACCCAGTCTGTGATACTTTGTTACCACAGCCCGACATGACCAATGCATCGCTGTGAACTCCGTAAGGACCAGAACATGGTCTCTTCATCTTTATAAGCCCTGTACCCACAGGGTCTAATCGAATCGCTCCAGACACAGGGGTCTAATCGAACTGTGTTCTACTTGCAACAGGAAGGGCAATAGTGGAAAAAGCACCGAGTGGTGAAGGGGAGAGCCCTGCACAGACACCCAGAAATCAGTTGTTTGTAATCATCTATATGAATAGACTGGCTGTTTGCTTTATATACTATTTATTCCAAGCCTTTTTCATTTCTCATTCATTGTTAGGGTTTCTCTGTGGTGCATGATAAATGCCATCGAGGGTAAAAGGAAAACACCCAAAGGAGGCAAGAGTCTGAGGGGGTACTTCGGCTCCCTCTCCATGTCACATGTGTTTGTCATGCTCGGTCTTAGTTGTCCTGGGAGAGCTGGGGCTCCTAGAAAGAAATTAACACTATAGAGAAGCATCACAAATAAAGGAAGCTTCCTACCTCTCCTCTCCTTCCAGGCACCAGGATCTTCATCACAAATGTGCTTCATTTGAACCTGCCCAGGCCACGCCAGAGCTGCTGAGGCTGCCCGCTCAGAACGGGGCCAGCGGGACAGCTCCTGGCTGCCTGTAAGCAAAGTGTGTTCAGGTTGCCCAGTATGTGCCCGCGCCCAATTCAGACTCCCTGGGAAGCCGGCCCAGGTGAGACCCGCTACACGGAGCTGGTCTGTTGGGATACTCAACATCCAGCGTGGAAGGGACCGTGTTGGAGTTTGAACATGCATTCTATTCATTCATCTATTCATTCATTTTTTTATTTTTGCCGATTTGGTCCAGGGTACATCTGCACCTGAAGACTTGGCCAGAAACACTGCAGCCTTCATGCTGCCGAGGACCAGGCCTCCTAACGCTGGTCCTGACCTCACCAGTGGCTCACAGACTTTCAAGAGACAGCATTATTCTTTCAAGGGCAGTGTCCCTTCGGCTCCATCAGTGAGACCCTGAGAGATGAACTCTTCAAAGGGTCAGTGTTTTCTGATGGAGCTACAAGAACCACTGCCCTTGGAAGGCTCTCCTGGCACAGCAAGGCGGGTGAGGGATGCTCCGTAAAGCAGGAACACGCTGGCTACTGATTTTTAAATTTTTTTAAATTAATTCAGACTTAAGGAGTCACATGTGCCTAGCAGCTGCCATACTGAAAACACAATTTTAGAGGGAGAAACAAACAACAAGCAAGTAGGCACATACTCTTTCCTCCTTTAACCACAAAATACATAAATACATTTTAAGTATTGCAAAGTGCTATGAAGAAAGTAAAGCAGGGTAAGGAAATAGAGGGTGGATGGGGAAGGCATTCTTCTAGAGGGGGTGGTGGTCGGGAAAGGCCTCTCTCTGTGGAGGATGACCTTTAGATGGAGACCTGAGGCCCTGAGATGGGAGTGACACCCCTGTCCTGGCAGCCGGGGTGTGGTGAGCAAGGAGCAGGGGCAAGCACGGGCCAGAGCATGCCAGGGTTTGCAGGCAGTTATGAGGGCCTGGAGTTCATGCTGACGGGAAGCCGAGAGAGGGCTTTGTGCAGAAAGGCGATTCCTAACTTAGAGCATCCCTCTGCTGGAGGCATGGAAGGACAGGAGGAAGCAGGAGGCCGTGGGAGGCTGCGGGCTCCCAGGCGGGAGGTGATGGTGGCCTAGAGAAGGCAGGGAGACGTGGACGTGGTGCCATGTCTGAAACTAGATCATTTTGCAAACAGAGTCAACAGGCTGGCTGATGGATCAGTTGCATGGGGGGAGACCAAGAGGTTTTTGGCCCAAGTGAGCCCAGGTAGAGCCATGAATGGAGATGAAGAACTATGGAGGAGACAACATATTGGGAGGGGAAAATCAAAAGCCTGATCAGCAGGGACATGGAAGCTGAAGATGTTGATTTGGGTGTGGTCAGCAAAAAGACATTGGTTAATGGTCTAGCTATTCAGTTGTCCCCCTCTGCTCTGCTGCCCCTGTGCCCCTCCTCACCAGTGCCCCAAGGGACCCGCACCCACTGCTGATGAAGTGGCCCAGCATGAAAATATCAGGGCTCCTCCTGACAGTGGCCAGGTCTGGGTCATCGGGGTGGGGGGATGCCCCTCCCCGAAGTGCTGCTCCAGTTTGTCACCTGAGCCCCTAAGCAGACAGAGCCCCACAGAAACAGTCTTCGCATCTGCCCTCATGTGCTCTCTTCACCCTCTTCTGCGGGTCTCAAACCCAAGCCAGTGGGAGGGGCAGGGGGTGAGATGCCATCCCCTGCATTCCCCTTCTCCCTGGCTGTCAGCTATCTTTGTTTCAAAATACTTCTCCCTCCTCCTTTAGCCACAAAATGAAAACCCTTCCCCCACCCACATCAGCCCATACGTTCAGACACTCAGCACACCTTAGCACATCAGTTTCCTAGTTTGGGGTCTGTTAACATCCTCCCCCCTAATAAGAAAATTGTTCCTGTACTCCCAAACTAATGTTTGCTCAATGCAATTCCAATAAAAAATGTAGCAGGATTTTACTTTACAGATGATTCTGACTTAGGAGAATTGATTTATGTGAACAGGTGATCAAAATAACCCAGAAGAATTTTGCAAAACAAGAATGAAAAGGAGGAACTCACTCTACCAGTTATTAAAACATGCTGTAATCTACCAAAGTAAAAAATTGTTTTAAGGGAGACATAAGTGCAAGGCTCAAGACTAGATTAGAGGCATGGAATAGGTAACTCAAAAACACCCCACTATATATAAAAATGTGATGCATGACAAAGGTGATTTCACAAATGAGTGAGAAGAGAAGAGATGACATAATACTCGCTACTAAGGTAATTGGTAACTTTCAAGAAAAATAGTTGGGTCTTACAGCTTAACCCAAGATCAGTTCATTTCCAGTTTAGTTAAATATAAAAAAATAAAGCTAAAACACTCTAAGAAAACATACAGTAATAATAGTTCACCTAGTAAGGCAGGGAATCACTTTTTTTAATGTGTGAGTGATTTTTATTTATTTTTTTATTAGCATATAATTGATATACAATATCCTATTGGTTTCAGGTATACATCATAGTGATTCAATATCTTACATATTATGAAATGATCCCCACAATAAGTCTAGTTACCATCTGTCACCATACAAGCTATTACAAAATTATTGACTATATTCCCTAAACATTACATCCCCATGACTTATTTATTTTATAAAGAAGTTAGTACCTCTTATCCCCTTTCACCAGCCCTCCAGTTCTTCCCCTCCCTGGTAAGCAACAGTTTGTTTCCTGTATCTGGGAATCACTTTCTATATATAAAATCACAATGAAAAGAGCCACAGAGAAAAAGATTGATAAATTTTCTACCTAAAAATTAAAATTTTTACATGTAAAACTTGAAAAGCACTATATGCACAACTAAAAGGTGAATGACAGACTGGAAATTTTTACAACAAATAGAATAAAAACACTGATAGTCGTAATGTAGAGACAACTCTTACAAATTAATAAAATCACTGAGCATCACAGTATAGAAAAGGTATAAACAGACCATTCACAAAGAAAGAGTGCAAATGGCAAGTAAATCTATTAAAACAGTTTTACCCTAATTGGCCAGGCTACTTCTTGTAGATGGAGTGGTAAGTTGAGGATTTCCCTGCCAGGGGACGGAGCTGCAAAACCTTGGCCATATGAGTCAAGAGAACTTAAAATGCTGAGACTCTGACCTAAGCATTTATGCGAAGGTAGTTACCAGAAATAAGGACTTAGGATGTTGACTGCAATTTGTTGAGAAAAGCCAAAACTTGGAAATACATATCCAACAGAAGTTGAATGACTAAATACATTATGTATGGTATATCCCTATAATTCATGTAACATATAGCCACTTTTTAGATCACTATTTTTCTCAATATTTGTAGAAAAAAGGGATCTTCCAGTGAAATGAAGGAAGTAAGGAAAGACAATATGGGGGTTATTTTTTTTCTCCTTTATACCTCAATGCATTTTCTGAATTTCCTATAGTGATTTTTCCTTTAATGATAAGAAACAAAAGTTCCTACCTATTTTCTAATGCCCATATAAATGCCTCTGCCCTGCCCCAGGTATGTGTGTTGTTTCTGACGAACCATCATTTAAAGCAGCCTGGGAGTCTGGCAAAGTTCCCTCCACAACCCTACACATCACTTTGGAAGAACTCAGCACCTTGGTTGTTTTTCTGTGTCTCAAAACGTGAATGTATGCTAGCTTTGGGCCTGTTCCCACTGCCCTTCCCAAAGAAGGGATGAGCAGGAGGATGTAATCTTTCATTTTATTTTCATGCTACCTATGCTCACCTAGATGCTTGTTTGGGGTGCCACCTTAGATGGGTCGTGGATGTAACTTAGAAAGAAATGCTCATTTCTTTTGCCTTGTGGAAAAACACTGACCCTATCTCTGTTCTTGTCCCACAGATATGATGCTGCCTCTTTTGTTTAGCCATTGGAGCAGTTACAATTTTCTGTGCTGAGATCATTCTGAAAACTCAAACACTCGACTTCAGCATTCAAGGGAAGCCAAAGCCATTGGAGAGGGAATAAAGCCAAAAGCCTTTTTATCTTACTTGTTCCAAAAATTGCACTGCCCCTTCCCTAGCTGCCTCCATCCACCACCCCCAATCCCCCCTCCCCCCCAAATAAGCTATTGCACACAGACAGGCGGCATGGCAAGCAAACGAAAATCTACAACCCCGTGCATGGTTCGGACATCGCAAGTAGTAGGACAGGATGTGCCCGAGGAAGGAGACAGGGCCAAAGAAAAGGAACTCAGCACATCACAGCCTGAAATGGCCAAGGATAGTTGGGCAACGGAACCTGACAACTCTTCCAAAGAAAATGAGGTGATCGAGGTGAAATCTACAGGGGAAAACCAATCCAAAAAACTCCAAGGTGGTTATGAATGCAAATACTGCCCTTACTCCACGCAGAACTTGAATGAGTTCACGGAGCATGTTGACACGCAACACCCCAACGTGATTCTCAACCCCCTTTATGTATGCGCCGAATGTAATTTCACAACCAAAAAATACGACTCCTTGTCTGACCACAACTCCAAGTTCCACCCCGGGGAGACCAACTTCAAGCTGAAGTTAATCAAGCGTAATAATCAAACTGTCTTAGAGCAGTCCATTGAAGCCACCAACCACGTCCCATCCATCCCCACCAGTGGCCCCGGAGGCAATGACAGTGATCCTGGGATCTCAGTGAGTAAAACCCCCATCATGAAGCCAGGGAAACCGAAAGCTGATGCCAAGAAGGTGCCCAAGAAGCCGGAGGAGGCCGCCACCGAGAACCACGTGGAAGGGACTGCGCGCCTGGTGACAGACGCAGCGGAGATCCTCTCAAGACTTGGAGGCATGGACCTCCTCCAGGACACGTTAGGGCATGTCATGCCTTCTGTCCAGCTCCCACCAAATATCAACCTTGTCCCCAAGGTCCCCGTCCCACTGAATACCACCAAATACAACTCTGCCCTGGACACAAATGCCACCATGATCAGCTCTTTCAACAAGTTCCCTTACCCAACCCAGGCTGAGTTGTCCTGGCTGACAGCTGCTTCCAAACACCCAGAAGAGCACATCAGAATCTGGTTTGCCACCCAGCGCTTAAAGCACGGCATCAGCTGGTCCCCAGAGGAGGTGGAGGAGGCCCGGAAAAAGATGTTTAATGGCACCATCCAGTCCGTACCCCCAACGATCACCGTGCTGCCCGCCCAGTTGGCCTCCACAAAAATGTCACAGCCCATCCTCCAGACAGCTCTACCGTGTCAGATCCTAGGCCAGACCAGCCTGGTGCTGACTCAGGTGACAAGCGGGTCGACAACTGTCTCCTGCTCCCCCATCACACTTGCTGTGGCCGGGGTGACCAACCACGGCCAGAAGAGACCTTTAGTGACTCCCCAAGCTGCCCCTGAGCCAAAGCGTCCATACATTGCCCAGGTGCCAGAGCCCCCACCTAAGGTGGCCAACCCTTCACTGACCCCAGCCAGTGACCGCAAGAAGACAAAGGAGCAGATAGCACATCTCAAAGCAAGCTTTCTCCAGAGCCAGTTCCCTGACGACGCTGAGGTCTATCGACTCATCGAGGTGACTGGCCTTGCCAGGAGTGAGATCAAGAAGTGGTTCAGCGATCACCGGTATCGGTGCCAAAGGGGCATTGTCCACATCACCAGCGAATCCCTTGCCAAAGACCAGTTGGCCATCGCAGCCTCCCGACACGGTCGCACATACCATGCGTACCCAGACTTTGCCCCACAGAAGTTCAAAGAGAAAACACAGGGTCAGGTTAAAATCCTGGAAGACAGCTTTTTGAAAAGCTCTTTCCCAACCCAAGCAGAACTGGAAAGACTAAGGGCGGAGACCAAGCTAAGCAGGAGAGAGATTGAATCCTGGTTCTCGGAGAGGCGGAAGCTCCGAGACAGCATGGAACAAGCTGTCTTGGATTCCATGGGGTCGAGCAGAAAAGGCCAAGATGTGGTGGCTCCCAATGGTGCTCTGTCTCGACTTGACCAGCTCTCTGGTGCCCAGTTAGCCAGTTCTCTGCCCAGCCCTTCACCAGCAATTACAAAAAATCAAGAACAGGTTCATCTCCTGAGGAGCACATTTGCAAGAACGCAGTGGCCTACTCCCCAGGAGTATGACCAGTTAGCAGCAAAGACCGGCCTGGTCCGAACTGAAATTGTGCGTTGGTTCAAGGAGAACAGATGCTTGCTAAAAACTGGAACCTTAAAGTGGGTGGAACAGTACCAGCAGCAGCACGTGGCCAATGATCACGGCTACGAGGCTGCATCAAGGAGAGCAACAAAAGCCGTGGTTGCCGAAAGCCCGAAGAACAGGAGTGAGGGGGGCCAGCAATATCACAGGGACCCCAAAAAGGTCTGTCAGGAGGACTTGGAGAAGTTGGTACACAGAGTGAAAGGGAGCCACGAGCAAGCAAAAGACAGTTTGGTGGCCAAGCCTTCGGAGGTCACTTCAGACAGATCTGAGGGCAGCAGCCAGGATGGCCAGGGCAGCGATGAGCACGAGGAGGCAGGCGTTGTGGACTGGGTGGAGGTGACAGTTGGAGAGGAGGACGCCGTCTCAGACAGGTCGGACAGCTGGAGTCAGACTGCAGCCGAAGGCGCAGCAGAGCTGGCCGACTCGGACTCCGACAGCGTCCCTGCTGAGGCTGGCCAGGCCTAGCCAGGTAATGCTACCTGTTCCCCAGGCAACTAGGGGCGGGGATGCTGGCTTGCATGCTTTTTATGGCCAGTGTCAGTAAAGGTCGTAGGGTACAGAGATGTTGACATAGATGATGGGTTCTTTTTAAAGGTTCTTTTTGAAAAAGGAAGAAAACATGGGGCTAGTAGCTTTGATGACCTTGATCGCAAGGCTGTGCTGATGGGTGTCAACGCCACTGCCTGTGACCCACTTGGATGCCACTCTTTAGGGCCTCTCTCTTCTAAAGCCTGGTTGCTATTGTAATAACCCTTCCTCCCCCAGTTTTGTGTTCACTGCTGTAAGAAACAAACATGACGAGGATGTATCCTTTCTTTTTTTTCTTTTTTTCCCCCCTTTCTTTTCTTTTTTGGATTTGTTAACAGTAAATACCCAAGTTGACTGGCACTGAGATTTGGGGCGGCTGCTTTTAACCTGAAAGGTTTTCGTATTTGCCTGGTCATGGCTATAGGAAGGTGCCCAGTGTGTCTCTTTAAGTAACCCTGTTTGGGTCCCCAGAACCCCTTCAAATCTGGAAGAGACTGGTGTAAATTAGGCCTGTAGCTACAAAAGCCTGGGAAGGGAGGTTACCATGGTTACTAATGGCCATGTCATCCACATAATGGGACATGCCACCCAAGTCCTTGGTGTTTGTGCTTCACCAGAGATCCATGCAAATCTAGCCTAAAGCAGAGCAGCTTGCTCAGCGGTAATTTAGAAAAGAGGGGGTAGTCGGAAATACAGGGGGGGAAACCCCACCTTGGCCAAAGCCAGATATTCCAAGGACAGCTTGGAAGGAGGAGGGAGATGCACGATTTACAATCTGCCCACGTTGGCTTCTCCAGAGGTTCCTTAAAAGGCAACGGAAGGGGCCTCCATATCCTCTTTCAAAATAATGAAATACAAGTAAGAACCTCCAGAATGATTGATAAGGTCCAAAGGGAGCCCCGGAAATTACTGTGCCTTTTTATTTATGAACTTGGACAACTTTGGCTGGCCATGCCACTCATTAATTCATTTATTCCATAATAAAATGAGGCACCCTAGCAAAAAAGTTAGGTCCTCTAGACACCTTGTGTCAGCCAGTTCCTTCAACTAGTAAAAGAGCAATTTGATCACAGCATGCCATTGAGTCTTCTCCGATTTTTCAGGAGGAAATGGTGATAGCTTGGGGATGAGAGTACAGCCCAGAGGGAAGGGGGCTAGTGATAGGAGGGGGCTAAAGACTACCGAGTAGTCCCAGCTACCCACCTACCCACCACCGTCTGCCTACCTCTGATTCATTCCCCGCCCCAGCCATTTTTCTGCCTTCTTGTAAGACCCTACCAGTCCAGCCCTTTCTCCCTCATTGAAATAAGGGAGCAATTCTTTTGTCCAATATCAGAATTTGCCTGGAAGTTCCTAGCTTGCCCTGTCTTCTGTCCTTGACCTTTGCCAATGTGGGACATAAGTCTCACGATTGCTTTTTCCTGCAACCACAGAGTAGACCATAGGGTTCAGTTCAATTTGACAAATACATTCTGATCATCTGCTGTGTACTGGTCATCATGCTAAGCACTAGCGATAACAGGATGAAGAAGACAGACGACAGAGTCCTCGTTCACATGGGGCTCATCAGGCCAAGGAGAGAGGAAATTGTTCTTTTCTTTACTAGCCAGGGTGATCTGCGGTGTGGTGGCAACATGCACAGCTGGGTGTGGGAGCACACAGGATGGGCAGCCAGGCTGGGGGTCGGGGCAGGCTCCCTGGAGGAAGGGATGTCTCACTCAGGGGCTAGCTGATGGGAAGGAGTTAGCCAAGTACACAGACAAGGAAAAGAGTTACTCAGATGGAAGGAACAGATAAGACACAGGTCCAGATACAAGAAAAGGAACCGTACAGGTGTGAGGACCAGAAGGGTTTGGCAAAGCCAAGCAGCTGAGTTTGGGGTTCAGCGAATGATGAGAAAAGACAAACTAAAAGAAAACCCCATGGTTTAATACCACTGGCATGAGCTATTCTGAACCAATATGTTTGCTGGGTTTGAGGGTAAGGATGCCCAGTATCCCAGAGTGAGCTCAGTTGGGACTTCTGCCCATCCCTGAGTGGGAGGTTGTCTGGGGGTGGCAGCACCCCAAAGCCCCTGAGGCACCTGCCCATCCCTTCTCTCCCAGGCGCTACCACCACTAACAGTTGAAGGTGCCCATCTGGGTTGGCTATTCCTGTGCCTGGGGCCCAAGAGGAGCATAAAGGGGGAAGCAATGCTAGAACCGGAGAGGGAAGCTTTGGGAAGGAAGGAGGAAAGATGGAAGGGGGGATGCAGGGCCTCCTGGGTGGCAGAGGCTGAGCAAGGTGCTCTGGCCACAGATGGTCTCATCTGTTCTCCTAGCAACCTGAAAAGTAAGCTGCTCTGTATTTTATAAACCCAGAGACTGAGACTCAGAAACTAAGGAACTTAGCCACATTCCCCCAGCCAGCACCTCAGTTCCGCGTGGGAGCCCTGCTTCTTCCCAATGCTCTTTCTGCCTCCTTATTTCAGACAGAAATCCCGCATTTCTGGTTGATCCCTGGTGGGGGTGGGGGTGGCAATACCTACAGTGTTTGGAGTTGACTTTTAAATTAAGATCAGATAATTCAGAGATATAGGAACTAGGTACAAAAAAAAATCAGGAACACCCAGGAACCCCATTTTATGTTTGCATGTGGTAAATGCCATAGGTGTGAGCTGGAAATATTCCTAAACAATGTGATAAGATCCACTCACTGCCTGGTGACATCCAGTACCCCTAATTGGCTTCCTGATATTTCAGGGGTACCACTGTATTGAGAAAGGGGCTGCAATCTGTACTGGTGGTGGCATCTGAAATCTTTCCCAATTCCTGGACAAAGGCACCCCTTAAAGGAACCTTTCCATTTAGGAGGGAAAAAGGATCTCTCCAAATTACTTCACAGCTTTTATGAGCTGAACACATGGGTCTCTTGAAATTCATAAATATTCAGGGATGCCTTTATTTAAACACATATTTCTTTAGGAACCGGCAGTTGAGTTTAGTTGTTACACATATAATAATTCTGAAAATAACGCATAGTTTTGACTTCATAAAAGGTGTTATGTGATGCATGTATAAGAGGATAAAGAGACCTGAGTAAGCAGCTGCTGGGAGCTGACTCTGTAGGAATCAAGCACTCTCCTGACCAAGTTTCTCTTTGCAAGGCTCGTGCCAATGTTCCCCTCAGTCCAGGCTCACCCAGGCCCTGAGGTTAGACACAAAAATAAGGAATCCTTCCTGAGCCTTGAATTATGTTGTCTCAATTCAACCTGGGTCCAAACAATTATCAAGCCATCCATGAGAGACCTGTCCTGGTAAGAAGCTAAAAAATAAATTTGGCCTTTCCTAAAAATGAGTCAAAATACTTGAGCCACATATTGCCGGACATATGCCTTGATGTTTGGCCAGATGGAATATCCCAGTACTGCTACTAAGAGTTTCTATTTATTGGTATATGCTGTGTGCTTGCCATTCTAAGCACATCTACTAAATCATTTAAACTTCACTATAACCATCTGAGATAGGTATGGCTTTTTACCCCTTTTACAGAGGACAAAACTGAGGCTCAGGGAGACTTGCCCTGAGTTCCTCAGGTAGCAGCTGGTGTAACCTGGAGACCACCCCTCATCTGTCAGTGCCTGACCTGATCACCATGGCCCACCACCTCTCCTGCCATGGCAACCCCACCGTGGTTCAGACCAAAGCAACAGGAAGTGGTCATTTCTTACTTCTGCACGGGAGTGGAAGCTAATACACAATTATCCACTCACTAACTTTGCTACCTCCTGATTTCTGACAAGTTCTAAGTCCTCATGATTAATGATGGCTTTGGAGAAGAGGTCAATTTTGTAAAATGCTACAAAAATATTTCCATAGTTCTGCCTGCTTAAAATACTCAAGGCTGCCAAGGGTTACATCCTGGCTACAGTTTAGGGCCCAGGAGCTGAATGCCCCACAATCTGTTCAGATTAGCTGTCCAACTACAGATATTTGGAGAGATGGCTGGATGAAAATACTGTAATTGTTTCTCTTTCTCTCCTCCACCAGACCCTTGAAAGTAGGGATCATACCCCATTAATCTCTGAAGCCCCAGGACCTGATTCAGAGCAGATGCTTAAAAACAATTTACTGGACCAACCTAGGAATTAACAAAGATAGTTGTCTTCCTTTTATCTGGGATCTAGTACCTAGTAGCAGGCCTTCTGCTTCTCTTCCTTTTTTTCCATCATTCATTAGCCTCGTTTGATCACAGCAGCAGGAGGAGAGGAGTCAGGGGCAGTTTGCTTTCCATGTATGTGAGCAGCTTGAAGGAAATTTCTGTTGGAGAATCAGTCACTGAATATTTACTGGGCAATGCTTCTTCAGGACTGCACATTAGCCTCATTGCCATGCTACCTAAAGGAGAGGTAATTGTCATCACTTCTGTGTACCTAATTCTGGACTTTCCCATGCTAGGAATTCTCCCTGTGCTTTGGGCAGTTTGTAGCAATTTAGGAGCCATGAAATCTAAGCACCTCATTTTTCAGAGGAAGGGTGCAAGCCCCAGTCCAGAGGCACTCACAGTAAGTGAGTTGGCTGATTGACCCATCAACAATTTGCAGAATGCCTGCAGCATGCTCGACTCTGGAAGGCAGTAGTGCCCAGCATGTCCCTGCCCTCATGGAGTCCATAGTCTAATGGGGAATGAAGCTTTAATCAAACAAAAGGAAAGGTGCCATACTGACAAGTTTTTTTTTGAAGGGAAGGCACATAAGAATATAGAATAGGGGAATTTGACCCGATTTAAGGGGTCGGGGAAGGCTTCTCTGAAGAGGTAGTAGATGAATTGAAACCCTAAAGGCTAAGTAGAAGTTGGCTAGACAAAAAGGAGGGGACAAACATCCCAGGCAGAAAAGCCTGGAGGCCAGAGGGAGCTTAATACATTTGGACCTGAAATGTGGTCATTGTGTCCGTGGCTTGCCTGGGTTGACACTTCACTGCAGTGCAGGGACTAAATAAGCCGGGCTTTCAGGTAGACTCACATAAAATCAGTTTCCCTTGAGATTCCCCTAACTCACCAGTAAAGAAGACTATATGTGATTCTGGGCCATGTGACCCTGCAGAGAAAGCCTGAGACCTTCTGTGAAACTCAAGGACAAGGAGGTGGTACCTGGGTCAGGTGTGGAGAGGAGCAAGTAAAGCTGGACTGGCTGCGGTGGCTGGGCTGCAGCACTTACTACTTGCCTAACGTCATATAGTCCCCCAGAGCGTCTGCTTCGTCCCCTGTGGAGCGGGCCTAACGGTCACCTGCACCCACCAGTTGCTGTAAGGAGCAAGTGGGATGATCGGCACCAGCGCTTAGCATCAGGCCTAGCTCAGAGTAGATGTGAAGTCAACGCCAGCTACTCCCACTGTTGCCACGATGTCACCCTTGGTTTTGTCCAGGCTGCTGAGCTGTCATGTGACTTGTGGAAATCACTTTTCCTCCCTGAGTTTCCAGTTACTGAGTGAGTGAGGTTGGCAGCCCCACCTACAAGGATCCCTGTACCTTTTAGGATTCTGTGGCCTCTGCCAGATCACTTTTGGGTGGTACCAGATCCCAAGGACACCCCTTGAATATGGTTTTATCCACAGGCATCACTTTGACAAGTTGGTCTCTTAACTGCAATATTCCCTCTTCTCGTCAGGAGCGTCTAGGGCCTGTGGGCACAGACATCCAAATATTGGGATGAATGATGACCTGCTGATGCCTTTGGTTGGGAAGTCTAGTCTTCTTGCCCTTGGTCCCCTGCACAAAAAATACTTCCTGGTTCCCTTCTCAGCCAGAGAAGTAGTGGGGTAGTAATGGCTTTACAGGGGCGAGACACACAAAAAAATGCCAGTGACCTCAGGAATCTGCAGATTTGATAAACTTGCAGCCTGCCATGGAATACTGACTGGCCCTGGCCCCTCCCCGTGGATTCCTTTCCCAGGATCTGGAGATCCTGGGAGCCCACAAAGGTAATAATGGGAGTCCTTCGTAGTTTCCTTCAGGCTGCCACTAAGTACCACAAACTGGGTGGCTGAAACGACAGAAATGTGTTCTCTCAGCTCTGGAGACCAGAAGTCTGGCGCCTGCAGGGTTGGTTCCTTCCAAGGCTGTGAGGGAGCATCTGCTCTGTGCCTCTCCCCTCACTTTCAGTGGGTTGCTGGCAACCCTTGGTGTGGGTAGATGCATGACCTCAATCCCTCCCTTGCTCTTCACATGATGTTCTCTGTGTGTGGTCTATGTCCATGTCCAGATTTCCCCTGGTTCTAAGGACACCAGTCATATTGGATTAGGGTCTGCCCTAAAGACCTCATTTTAACTTGATGACTTACCTCTATAAAAAGAATTTCCAAATAGGGTTACATTCTGATGTACTGAAGAATAAGATTTTAATTTATCTTTTTTGAAGACATAGTGCAGCCCACAAGAAGGTACTTGGACTATTTTCATTACTTCAAATGTAAACATTCCTTCATCCTGACTCTTGATACTGTTTGTATGTTATGAGCACAGACTCTGGGGATTGCCTAGGTTTGACCCCTGACTCTACTGCTTACTAGTGGTAGGGTGTTGGGCAAATTACTTAGCGTCTTTGTGCTGTTTCCTTACCTGTAAAATGGGAATTATAATTTTTCTGAGGGTTGATATAAGCGTTAAATTGAAAATACACTTAAAATGTCTCATATTATGATTGCTATTATATATCCTACCATGTCTAGAAAGGCTCCCCCTAACAAAAACAACCAAAGCGGGTATAATACCTACCATGTACCAGATGCTATTCCAAATGCTGGTGCCTATATCAATTTATTTAATCATCACAGCAACTTTTATCATCCCTGTTTTACAGAAGCTAAAACAAAGCTCTAGGGAGATTGTCTCGTGTGCATGGGCCCCAGTGCCAGTAAATGGAAAACTTAGGACCCAAATCCAGGTTTTCTGACTCTAGGGCCCCTTAGGAACCACTGTGACTGGCCACCCCTCCAGGAATCAGAACAGGGCCTTGTAATGATGAAAAGAATCACAAGCCGCCACCTTCACTTGCCTAGAAAGTATCCTGTTTTCAAAGGCCTGATTCTGGAGGCACTTGCCATGTCAGATGGTGCTCAGAAAACACTCCTTCCTTTAAGACAGGCCCCAGATGTGGGCATCTGTCTCTCCTCCAGCCTCAGGGTGGCTTTGAAGGGGTCTTGCACAGGAGACCCAGGAAGAAGCGACACCCACCACCTGCACCCAGGGAGTGACAGTCATCTGCCTGACATCTCTGCTCTGGCTTTCTGTCGTCTTTCTAGGGAAGCCCCTCAGAACTGCTGTGCTGATAAAGGAGATGCTCTACCTTTGAAGAAAGAAGAGAACTTCCCTCCCCGGCCATCCTGGCCAGAGACTCCAAGTGGAATTACTTAGCTCGCGTGTGCCTGCAGGATTCGGGAACCCCAGCTGCTTTCACACGCACCTCCCAGAGGACCGGTGGGAATTGTTCATAGTGCCAAAGTCCTACTACTGCGTTTTCAGTGGGTCCTTGTACATAGTTTGCTCCTCTGCCCTGGCCCCCGGCTCTTGCTATACTGGAATCTATTTGTACAACATGGGACTTTTGTTACCTTTTTAATCAAGCTCAACTTCCTTTTCCAGCACTACCATGGTAAGGTTTTTTTCTGGGAGGGAGGGCTGGGCACATGTGTTTTTCTATTTTTTTCTTCTTTTCCTTTTTATTTTATTAATTTGTGGGAGGGGGGAATGTTAGCATTAATGCCATTATATCTACCGGATTTTAGGTAGGGAGAGTTCATTTTTAAAGGTAGTTTGAAATGTGGGAGATTTCTCAGTGGAAAGGGCTGGACCTCAGGGTCTGGCTCAACTTAGAGGATTTACAGACAGTAGAACTTCCAAATCAGTCCATTTCTGGTTCTTCCCCCAGCCACCTTCAGGGTCCCTGTTTTGCCTCGTGCACAGCTTACTCGGCCACCAAGAGGTCCATCTAGCTTCTCACCTACCTGGCCTTGTAGATCCAACCTTGGGCCGAGCCGGCACCCGGAGAACTGGGTGTCAGACGGCTGTTCTCTCTAAGCTCCTTTTTAGATACCAGCAGAAAGGGCTCTCCCATTTGTTAGCATTACTATTAATTTTATGAAATTAAAACAAAAAGAGAGATCTTCCTATCTAGATGGTACAAAGATGAATAGCCTTGGTTTTCATTTCTGTCCCTAACTGCCTTTTCTCAGTGTGGTATTTGACAAGATTTCAGCTTGAAGCCTCACCATGAATTGATTTTGCTTGTGTATTTGTTTTGGGCCAATTTTAGATTCCTGAGTGCACTTTTTTTCTTTCTTTTTTTTGTTAGTCCTAACTTTTAAAGAAGAAAAACCAAGAGACCTATCTGGTGTCAATGTTGCAATATGAATTGTGTTTGCAATCCCTTGCCCCACCCACTGTTCCCCATTTGAATCCACTGCACAGATAAAATGCTAGGGAGTTTGAAAAAAAAAAAAAAGACCTTTTTTCTAACTTGTTGCTCATTTGTTGTTAACTCAATAAAGCAAAGACTAAGCATTTTTATAACCTTTTCCTCTGCTCCTCATTCTTCATTGCTGTCTGGCTCCCATTACAAATCCCAGAATGACCGCATTTCCCATTTTCTGCCTTGGTAAGGTCCTACAGCACAGGTGAGGCTTTAAAAACAGGTCATAAATGCTGCTGGGGGAATCTTCATCATACCTCTTTTGACACAGAGAAGTAAGCGATAAGCCCTCCCTTCTCCAGGATATTCACAGGTAGATGCATAAAATACTGCACAGAAGAGCATCAGATGGGAAACTGCCATTTCTCCGGAAAGGCTGGCTTTTGTGTGTCCGTGCAGGTAAGGTTTAAAGAATCCCTCACTGTTCAGAAGTGACACTCACCTAGACCACTGGCTTTCAAACTTGAGCAGTCACCAGAATCACCTGGAGGGCTGGTTCAAGTTTCTGATGCAGGGGGGTCTGGGGTGGGACCTGAGAATCTGAATTGCTAACAAGTTCCCAGGTAAGGCTGATACTGCTGACCCAGGGACCCCACTTTGGGAATCTCTGGTCTATATGCTTCATTTTTATAGGGACTTATGGACTTTTGGACAGTTTATCTAAATTAAGTATGTGTATAAAGCATGTGTAAGCATATTCTTCAGGTAAAGACCCTTCCTCCTTCTCGTCACTTCCCCAAATACAAGAAATGCTGAAAAATCAGGGATTCAGAGGAGGCTAGCCTTCTCTGGAAGATGCCTTCAATATTGAGGCCAAACATGGCTGTGTTGTGGGAGAGAGTTCTAGTCCTTGGCTGAGAAGCCCTGCCACCCTGCAGCTGCCATTGGGGTGGCCTCCAGGTGCCTGGGAGATGACCTGCCCACTGATCTCTTCCACCAGGCCTCCTTCACCACTTCCTCATTCCTCATGGTCCTCTGCAATCCTCCAGTCTATGAGAGTCAGGATGCAAGGAGACCTCTGCTTCATGGAATCTCCTCAGTGCACCCCACCCACCCCAAAGCTCACGCTCCAGATACCACACTCCACCTGGGCCACTGGTGTCTCTGTTCAAATGTCACCTGCCCTCCACGGCTCCCTGCTTGCAAGACCAGGACAAGGGTGAAGTGAGCAATGCACCTAAGTGTGCAAAATTTAAGGACCCGAGGACATACATGTGCCATCCCTGCACTTGCAGCACCCAGAGAGTGTGCAGCTCCTTAAATTGTGCATCCTGGGTACCATAGTTGCCTCGCCTGAGCCCTGCTTACCAGGCATGCCTTCCTCTCACCCTGCCTTATTCTCCTTCACCGTGCTTGTCACAACATGTCACCAAATAGTCATCATTTACTTCTTCTCCTTCCCACTACAGTGCAAGCTCCATGAGGGCAAGGACTGTGTCTATCTCGTTGCCTCCTCTACCACAGTGTCGGGCACATAGTAGATGCTCCATGAATATTTGTTGAATGAATGGATGGATGGGTGGATGAAAAGTGCCAGCTCTGCAGTCAAACTCGAGTCTGAATCCCAGCTGTATGCCTGACAAGCTAGGTAATTCTGTAGAATTTACTTAACTTTTTTTGCAGCCCTAATTCCTCATCCTAGACCAGGAGGTGCAGACCTTTACCATAAGTCTAGTGTGAGGATTAACTGAGTTTACGAATGCAAAGTGCCCAGCACACAGTAGGGGCTCTGCAAATGTTCCTTCCCCTCCCACTGCTCCGACTGCGGAGGGGCATCAGGCCAGGCAGTGGGATGGCTGGGCCTTTTCATGCCCTCATGGGATTTGCATGAGGAGGGCAGATGGAAAGCTGGATCTGGGTCTAGGAGGTGGTATTGCAGACACCTGTGCCTCTGGATTTGGAGACTGCCATATGTAACCGACCCTCTTCTACCCCTCAACTTGCATACTATCCCCTACCCCCACCCCAAAAATCCCAAAATTCCAACCAGCACTTTTCTTATTTTAAAAAAAATGAAAAGTGGCTGTAGGTGACTCATTCCCTGGTCCCTGCCTAAATGCCTATCCTGTCTGTGCTTCCAGCCCAGGACTGTCCACACACCTCTTCTCCCCAGGCTGTGCTGTCCTCTCAGTCCGTTAATGAATGCCAGACCAAACCCAGCCTCCAGCTTCTCCCTCGGCAGGCAGCTGCCTTCCCTTCCTGCCATCCACCAACCTCGCAGTTCCTCCTGCCACTCTCAGGTGATATAAATAAATTCCACACGGAAGGCAGCACAAGACGCTATCAAATGCCTGAAGACACCAAAGGGAAAACCTAGCCAGAAAGGTTTTTTTTTTTTTCTTAATTCCTGCACTATAGAGAAAGCCTTGATAATTGGTTGCAATGAAAATACACAGGGAAGATAGTTGTGCTCTTTTAACCACCCAGTAAAATACATCAAGCAATCTTTTCTCCACTGGGAGTGATTAAAGGGCGGCAGGAACTAGGAGAGAGGTTCTTGAAGGGAAGAGATGAACAGGATTGTTAGCGAGATGGAAGAGAGCAGTGGGGCAGTGAGAGCGTCTGCTGGCTTTGCACCCTCTCTTCCTTCAGGGTTCACTCATCTCCCCTGCATTCATCTGGTTCTGGGGGCGCTGCCCACCACGGTGAGCTGACCCCTCCCACAGAGCAAGTCGCAGCCCTCCAGCCCCCTAGTGACAGAGCAGCTGCTGTGCAAGGTGGGCAAGGTGATAATATTCGCCTGGAGCCGCCAGCAGCCAAGCCCCTGCCAGAGAGAGGAAACCAGGAGGTAGCGTGAGGACAAAAATCAAGAGGAGACTCAGGGGAGAAAGAGATGGCGGTGGTGGTGGTGGTGGTGACAACAGTGGTGACAGCATTTGAGTCTCTGGGCCCCACCCTTTCTAAGAACATCTCCCTGTTTTTCCAGTTTCATAAAAACCGACACACTTCCCTTTTTGATTTAGGCTAAAACCTTTTAAGTTGGGTTTCTGTCACTAGAAACTTGAGAGTTTGAGGGGTTGATGGGATTATGAGATAAAAATCAAAGGAAAGACAACATTTATAGCCACAAGCAGCCAGCGGCTCCCTATTGGATGGCCCACCTTAGGCCCCTGCTTCCCCAGTGTGTTCCCCCATCAGCAGCACCAGCAGCACCAGGGTGCCTATCAGAAATGCAGAATCCGCACTTCGACACTGATCCTCGGGTGAGTCGCATACTCATTCAAGCTTGAGGAAGCCTGCTCTGAAGGCACTGAACGGCTCCTCCCTTACCTCCTCCAGCCCTTACCTCCTCCAGCCCTTACCTCCTCCAGCCCGTGGCCTGTTGCCAGCGTGTGGACTCCCAAGCCTGGGAGAGCAGGGAGGCCGAGAGCCGCGGTACACGGATGTGGACACACTTTCCTTTCCAGGCCACCTGGCACACGGCCCCTTCCCATCATCAGCTCTCGGGAATGCCAGCTCTCACTGGCCTGCCACAGTACGATCTGGAGAGAACCCAGATGTCATTTCCCTCCTACTGATTTCCGGCAGCTCCTACCTGGAGCACCTCACGGGAATGGACTTGTAAACTGAGGCACAGACACCATTGTTGTCCCTTGGTGGACTGACCAATAAAAATGAATAAAAAAAGACTTCTGAGCACATCCTGGGACACACTGCAAGCCGGGTGGCCTGCAGAGTGCAGGAGGCACACGGCCTTTGACTCTGAGGAAGGGGAAGACCACGGTGTCCGTCAGTGACTAACACCTGCCCCCGGAGCCTTACAGTTGCCCCAGTCTGATCCCTTGCAGGAAAGAGATGAAACACTCTGGGTGATTTGGGGGCAGTTAATTAAAAGGATTGTTTTCAAATGGGTAGACAGGGTTTGGGGTAAACAATGAGTGAGGACGTAGGGAGCTTGGCCTGAAAGGGTAAAGATGGGGCTGTTGACGGAACTTGTGGAGGAGAGCTGTGTACAGCAGGCTTCCTGAAAGGAGATGTGGCCTTTGCTAAACCATGGTGGCTCAGCAGAGAGGCAGCTGGGGGAATAAACATCCTGATTTCAGTCTCTGCCCATCCTCTACCCTCCTGCCGCTGCCTCCCACCAGCCAGACCCAACCACAAGTCAGCGGGCAAGGGGGATAGGTTGGCCCTGCTCACCAGAGTCTGCCGGCTGGCACTCAGAGCAGGTGGGGAAGGGCAGAGGGAGGAGCAGGTGACCCAGCATACAGATCAGCCTATGGGCTGCACCGAGGGGGCAAACATACACCAAGCATGCCATTTGTACCATCCACCCCTATGGCAGATCCTTATAATCAATCAAGTGCTTTTGCCTGCTGGGCTAGGACCAGCTTTCAGAATACTTAACAGAGACTTCCACCTCGAATCTATTAGCGTTGGAACATGAGATGAAATGTGTAGTGATGCCACTGGTCACCTAGCTAATGTCCATCCCCTCATTCTTCCTTGCTAACAGAACCAAGATGCCCCCCAGGCACCTACAGGTGAGAAACCCAATTTCCCCGGCAGCCGGGAATGGCTGCTAAGCCACAGGCAGCAGGCAGGACATAGCTGCTGCCACTCGCCTCCCTTCCTACCCCGCATGCATTCGTGATCTTCACACTACGTCCCAATAGCTTCAGTGACCCCGGAACCAGTGCCACAGCTGAAAATTTTCTCCTTTTTGTTTTATTGAATTATAATTGACATACAATATCATGTTAGTTTTGGGTGTACAAGATAGTGATTCAATATTTTTACACACTACAAAATGATCACCATGATAGGTCTAGATACCATCTGTCTCCCTACAAAGTTATTACAATATTATTGACCATATGCCCTATACTGTACATTACTTCCCCATGACTTGTTTAAAACTGGAAGTTTGTGCCTCTTAATCCCCTTCATCTATTTTGCCTGTCTCCTATCCACCTGCCCTCTGGCAACCTCCATTTATTTTCTGTATTTATGAGTCTGTTTCTGTTTTGTTTCTTCATTTGTTTTGTTTTGTAGATCCCACATATAAGTGATACATACAGCATGTGTCTTTGACTTATTTCACTTAGCATAATACCCTCTAGATCTGTCTGTGTTGTCACAAATGGCAAGATCTCATTCT